CCTCAGTGGGGCTCTGCCTTCCCAAGGCAGCCGAGGCGGCCTCACTCACTCAGCCTCTGTGTCGGTGGCCAAGAGGTGACACTAGACTCCCCGGAGGCCTCTGCGGCCTCCAGCCTGGCCCGAGGACAGCAGCCTGGTGAAGGCACGCAGTCCCTGTGGGCCTGAACTTACCCGGCTTTCTCCATGAGGGCCAGTGACGTTTCATATTTCATTTATCATTTCATAAATATTTGTTGGGCATATTTTACATTCCAGGGCTGGGTCAGGCCCTGGGGACATAGCTCCTGCCCTCAGGGAGCCCACAGGCCAGTGGAAGGGGGTGAGGGAGACCGACATTAAATAAAGGATGTGGTGGCTGTTTCATCACAACTGTCCTAAATCCGCCCCAGAAGGGCATGTACAGTGTCTTAAGTGTAAACCCAGGGAGGCTGCTCTGGATGGAGAACCGTAAAGGCTTTCCGGGGAAGTGGGACCATTTCCCTGTGACTGGGAGGAGGAGTGGCGTTGGCCAGGTGAAGGGAGACGGGACAGCGTTCCAGGCAGAGGGACCAGTGCAGCGAAGGCTGAGAGCTTGGCATCTTTGGGGAGCAGAACGGCAGCCAGTGTCGGGGAGCAGAGTGGGCGAGAAGGAAGGTGAGGGGCACAGATGGAGAGGTGGCAGGTCGCTCCGGGCCTTGCAGGCCACAGTGACTTTATCCTGAGTCAACAGGGAGCCCCTGACCCGGGTGGAAACAGGAAAGCAGGCTGATCGGGGTGGAGTTCCTTCTAAACCATCTGGCTGCTGGGTAGAAAGTGGATCGCCTTGCAGGGCCCATTGGAAGCACTGGGCGTCTGTCCATCCAGGCGGCTTCCCCTGAGCCCCCAGGGCACTTCAGAGCCGGTCGCAGAAGGCCTGCCTGCCCCTTTCTCTGGCCGCCCTCTGTCTCCCTGCCCCACCCCTCCCCAGGCACAGGCACACCCAACGTGAGCTCAGGAGTGCCTCAGAGCCTTCCAGTCTCTGTCTCTCTGCCACCATCCGTCCGCCTCCTGAACTTTCCGTCAGTGCTTACACGGACGTCTCTGGGCATCAGACGTGGGATTCAAGTTTGCCAGGTCACAGCTGCCCCGATGGGAGGTGGCTGCTCTTTATTCTCCTCCTGGGCCGTCTCTCCGGAGTCCTGTGAGGTCTGGGCTGGGACTATCTGCCAGAAGGTACAGAGCAGGAAACTGACCTCTCTTCCTGCCACTGCAGGCGTCCTGGACCTGGGGCCCTGAGGGCCAGGGAGCCATCCTGCTGGTGAACTGTGACCGGGAGGTACCCTGGTTGTCCAAGGAGGACTGCAAGGACAACAAAGTCTACAGCAAGAACGGTACCGGCAGGACCCACACATGGGGTTGGGGGCAGGGAGGAGCAATGGAAGCCCTCCTGCTACGTCCCGGGCTGGGCAGAGGGTGCGGCAGGAGTGACCAGGGTCTCCTGGGGGTGGAGGACTCAAACATCCACTCTCGCTAAAAACAGAAAACAAAGCTATTAATATAGTCCAATTGGAACCATGTTTTATAAAGATTCACATACATAGAAAAAAGACTGGAAGGAAATTCCCCGAAGGTTATTGGTCGTCTGTGGAATTAGAGACGACAGCCCGTTTTTATGATTTTCTATAGTTTCCATAATACACACATGTGGGGTTTTCTCCGTCCTGATTAAAAAAGTAACGACAGCCCTTTGTAAGCCAGCATTGCAGCCCCAGGTGTCTTCATTCTAACCTCCCCGTGTGCCCACCCATCAGACCTCAAGGACATGTCACAGATGATCCTGCGGACCAAAGGCCCCGACCGCCTCCCCGCAGGATATGAGATCGTCCTCTACATTTCCATGGCGGACTCGGACCGAGTGGGCGTGTTCTACGTGGAGAGTAAGTGGCCCCGGCCCAGCCCTCGCGGTCCTGAGCCATTCAGCGCTCACCGAGTTGCCCCCACGGGGACCCAGCTCTGCCCTCGAAGGCGCCCAGGCCTCCCCTACGCAGTGGCGGCCCCCACAGGGGCAGGTGCTTACAGAGAGCCCCTGGCCTCTTAGTAAGCAGCTGGGCCTCTTAGGAGCAGAAACGATTACTAAGTTGTATTACTAGTAATGGTCATGGTTGTCCCAGGAAGTCAGGAGGCCCCCTGGGCCAGATCTCCCCTCTTCAAAGGAGGTGGTCGTGCCGCAGGTTTAGGTAGAACCAGAGGCCCTTCTTCCCCATGAACCAAGGGAGGAAGGCCTTTGGAGGTCCTTTTCTGGGGTCATGTCACCTCCATGATACCTGAAGCAGGTACCCACCCCCGGGTGTGTTTTGCCCATCTCAGACTTCCTGGAGCTGAGCACTGCCTCCCAACTTTCATAAATATACACACACACACACACACACACTAGAGTCCCAGGCACGAGATTCGTGCATTCATGCCCTGGGGAAGGAGGGGGTCTCTCAGCCCTGCCTGCACCCTCTCACAGTCCGCAGTCCCAGAGCCCTCAGGGGAGCCCTCAGGGAAGCAGGCCTAAGCCGGCAGTAGGAGATCTTTAGCGCTGCTGCTGAGGTGGGAGCTTCCACCACCACTGCTGCTCTCAGCTCACCAACCATGAGCCCAGCTTCTGGCTGAGCGGTGCACCCCCTGTGGGAGCGCACTGAGCACCAGGGGGCAGCTCCTGCATTGAGCATCTGCCCCCTGGTGGTCAATGTGCGTCATAGCATCCAGTTCTTCCGCTGTTTGGTCAATTTGCATATTACCCTTTTATCATATAGGATTTTATTATTGCTTTCAGAGAGGTAGGGAGGAGGAGAGAGAATGGAAACATCAGTGATGAAAGCGAATCATTGACTGGCTGCCTCCTGCACACCCCACACTGGGGATCGAGCCCACAAGCAGGGCACGTGCCCTGACCAGGAATTGAACCCTGACCTCCTGGTTCCTAGATCGATGCTCAACCACTGAGGCATGCCCGCTGGGCATGCCTGACTTTTAAAGAGCCCCTGGTGCCCTAACCGGTTTGGCTCAGTGGATAGAGCATCAGCCTGCGGACTCAAGGATCCCAGGTTCGATTCCAGTCAAGGGCATATACCTTGGTTGCAGGCACATCCCCAGTAGGGAGTGTGCAGGAGGCCCCTGATCAATGTTTCTCTCTCATTGATGTTTCTAACTCTCTATCCCTCTCCCTTCCTCTCTGTAAAAAATCAATAAAATATAGTTTTAAAAAATTTAAAAAATTAAGAGCCCCTGGTGCTGCTGTGGGCACCCTGAGGGTGCTGACCCCTTGCTCCTCTTCTCTGTGACAGGCACCCTGGGCCCCACTGTGTAGGGCATGTGCTTCCGCCACAGAGCGCCCTGCTCTGACCCATTCTTTCTGTAAGTGCGCGTTGAGCGCCCTCAGTGCAGGTGCTGTTCCCAGCACTGGGGTCCCCACAGTGAACTCTGCAATCACACCCTGCCCACCCTGGTGAGGTGACGGTCCAGTGAGGGAGACACAGGAACTAGCATGATTGGAGCAAATAACTCAGACCACGTGATAGAGAGTGCGCAGGGTAGAGGTAAGGTACCGCTAGCCTGAGCAGGTGACTGAGCTAAGACCCAGACCAACAATGAGAAGGAAACAGCCCTTTATGAGCTGAGGGAAGAGTGTTCCAAGCACAGGGAACAGTACGGACAAGGCACAGAGCGGGGAACCAGCCTGGAGGAGCAGACGGAAGACCAGAGCGAGGAGATGTGTTGGAATCAAGGTCAGCGAACTGGGCAGGAGCC